TGAGGTTGATGGGATACATTGTGTACATGTAAGGAAATATTACAACAGATTCCTCATTAACTAAAGTGAGCTCATAAAAATATTAAACATGCTGTGCTGACTATTATTTCATAACAAATTATTTCCAGCCAGGTCACTTGAAACAATAATATAAAAATAAAAATAGTTTGCCTGGTGTTGGTGCTCATGCCTGTAATCCTAGTTAAATAGGAGGTTGAAATCTGAGGATCATGACTGGAAGCCAGCCTGGGCCAGAAATGTCCATGAGATTCTTTTCTTTAAAAACTTTTAGTATAAATTAGTTATATAAAGAAGTTACAGTTCCACAAGTTAACGAATGAGAACAGAGCATCTTGATTAATATTCTTCCTTCCTTTGTTCTTCCCCATTTCCCCCTTCTGTCTCTATCCTTGTTACATAATTCATTTTTATATAATGTAAACTGAATTTATGACTGCATTTGCTCACTCTTCTTCCCTCCCTCCATTTGTGTGCCTCTCCCCTTTTTCCCCTCAAAACACATTTCTACTTCCTGGTATTCATTTTGTTAAACAGCTCATTAAACTCTTATCTCCACTAACCAACAAAAAGATGGAAGTAGAGCTGTGGCTCAAATGGTACCAGCCTTGAACAAAAAAGCCAAGGGAGCTCAAGGCCCTGATTTCAAGCCCCAGGGCTGACACACACGAAAAAGTATATTTCTGGGATAAGAAGTCAGACATGAAAAAGTGTAAGGAAAGTGTATTCCAACTCCCTCTGTCTAGGGCTTCCACTGGAGGCAACCATCTTTTTTAGTTAGTGCCACATGGTTACTGTCAGGTGGGAGCCTGAACAAGGTTTGTGGCCAACAACTTAAGTGTATTGAATTATTCTCAACTTCATGCTAATGCTAAAAGAGGAATATTAATTTCCCTATTACACAAATGAGGAAACTGAGGCTGAGTGAACTCAAGTAACTTGACCAAGATCACAAGGTTAATGGGTAGCTAAGTCAGGACTTGAATCCATCCTTTGCTTTATGTCAAATGTCTGACCAGGAAGGAATGGGGGAAACTTCTGGGAGACTAGTGTACACCTGATTTTTCTATGCTCTGTCCAGTGAAGATAAGCCCTTGTAAGCAACACTGTTCTTCAGATAAGTTTTATTTGTTTCTTTTTATTTGCTGTTTTAACTATAATGTTTCATATCTGTATTTAAAAGGATGCTGGAAAATAGAGGAGGAAAATATGAAAAGTAAAGGAAAACACTGCTTTCTTGAGAAAGCCTTCCATGTTTTCAGAGTATAAACAGTGAACCTAGGCCATAAAAACCTCATTAAAATGTCAGTGTTACACCTTTGTACTTCAGGACTGAATAGCAAATCACTTACCCCATTATTTATGGCTCATCAATAATACATTAGCTCTGCTCTCAGGAAAGCTGACATTCAAGGATGGGCTGGTTTCGTGTGTGGTTTATTCCATTCCCAAAGGGGCAGAGCACATTCTCTACACTTGCATGGTCATTTGATGAAGACCTTAGACTCAAACACCCAAAAGAACTAATATCTCCCTTCCCAGTGCTCTCCTTCCTCCCACTATCCCAAACTAGTCCCAGAAGTGCAGATAGCATTTCCTAAAGGAAACCTTCCTTCCTCAGAAGCAATTCCAGTCATAGGATGGAAATTGTTCAAATGTGTGTGTGTGTGTGAAAGAGAGAGAGAGAGAGAGAGAGAGAGAGAGCAAGAGACAGAGACAGAGAGACAGAGACAGAGAGACAGAGAGAAAGACAGACAGACAACAGACAGACAGGTAGACAGACAGACAGGCAGACAGAGAGAAAAGAAGTGAGAGTGACAGGCTTCAGCTTGACTATATTGAGATGCTGGATGTTAATGTTCAGGTATCACCTCTCTCCACCTATTTTCAGTGCAAGATAGCTTTATTCTCAGCAGGATCTCCGCATGCCATGGAAAAGATCACCATCTTTGCTATTAGTTTGGTGGTAATGGTAACACACAGGGTTTTCTGGTGCCACTCCTATTGGTTCAGGGTCAGTCATATACTCATTCCTGAGCCAATCAATGTGATTAGTTGGTTGGTACATGGTAACTCTCATTGCCCAGGTCTGGACTCCTTATGAAAGCCCCAACCAAAAACTTTCCTTCTCCTGTGACATGAAAGCGGAGCAGGGACAGGTCTTATATCAGAAGGAGAAATGGAAGATGAACAGGCAGAAACAACAATTGTCAAGGAACTTGTTAGACAAATTTTTATACAATTGTTATTCATATGCATTTGAACTGCATGCATGTGGACTGACAGGAGTCAACTGATGTATGGATCCACTAGGCTTATTGTGTGTCCCTTATTGTGTGTTTTCGTAGGATTTACTACAATTTGCGATGTGACCCACTTTGCATTCTGCTGTTGTTCACAAATACAATAAATAATAAAAGGTTGATTTATTATGTGGTGACACTGGGGCTTCCAAAGGGTAGAATGCTACCATGTGGACTTTGTGTATGGAGCTGCGGTTGCCAAGACAACTTCTCAGATCTCTGTCATCTTAGCACAGCATCCAGAACTGAGCAGGTGCTCAGTGAACATTAGTTCTTCAACAAGGGTTTATTGCTGTCGGAAAATAAAAAGAGCAACATAATTTAGAAAGAGAGAGGGGGAAGGAGAGAGAAAGAGGGAATATCTCAAGCCATTGGTGAATCTTCTCAACAAAGAATGAACCCATTAAATAAATGGTAAACATCAAGCTTGTCCCCATAAACCCTCCTTCTCTACCCACATTTTAAGGAGATGCTCTCAAGGGGAATGGCCCTCTGAGCAAGCACAACTGATAAGAAATTGTAAAAGAGTCACATATCTTAAGATTCACATCTTAAGATTCTCTTAAAAGAGACACTCTGGGGTATATGTCTCCTAAAAATATATTGAAGGCAAAAGGGGAGGGGCAAAGATGTCTTACCCTTTTGGTACCAAGAAAAATTTTAATTCAATTTTTGTACTTACCTTTACTGTCTACTTCTCTAGAGTGACAAGAGTGTCTACATAAAGCCACTGGAGAAATTCACCCTAAAACTGGCATAAATACTCCCATCCCTGGATAATATTTAAAATACTGTTAGGAGAACCTAGTGACTTAATAGTGCTCTGATGGCTATGACTTTCCTGTGTAGTGGGATTAAGGGAAAGGGATTAGAAGCCAATGTGGGAAATTAAGATCACAGAGATGGGCCCCCTTTTTGTGAGGTTATAATGAAGCTTAGAAGATTTCTTACCTCCCAAGGGCATCGCAGTATTTATGGTCCCATTTGTTCTTCCAGAATCTTATCTTCATCAAGTAGTGCCATCTAGGGATGGTTGCTGTTCAGTATAACACTTCACCATCCATCACGGCCTGACCCACAGTAGTTCTTTGTAGGAAGGAGACTGTCAAAAGCAGGAGAGAGGAGGGCAGAACTCACGCCAGTTTTTCTCCAAATGTGATCCAACACCTGTTGTGTTCCCATTTTAAGCTGGTGTTTATGAGGATGCTCCAAAATCTGCCCTCCATTTCTGCAGCGATTTTCCAACCTTACTTAACAAATTTCTTCTGGGAAGGAAGGCTACTGAGGAGGCACTTTAACACAACTGCTTAACAGCCTGATCAGAGACCCCTTACAAGGCTCAAGCTCTAAGCTCTGGGTCCAAGTTACCAGCAGGCAGCCTCTTCCTCCATCCTCATGCTCCTTTTGGTGGACATCACCTGGGGGAATTTGATGAGCTGATGTACTCAAAGAGCCTAGAAGAGAGGGCAGAAATGTGGAGAGGCAAGAGGGAAGGGAGTGGACATCAGAGCGAGAGAAAAAAATGGATCTACAAGATCCAGGCATGGTGGCTCATGCCTATAATCCTTGCTACTTGGGTGGTGGAGAGGGGAGGATCATGGTTCCTGGCCAGCCCAGGGGGGAAAGTTGGTGAGACTCCATCTCAACCAATGAAATATGCAGCACCAGTGGTGTGGACCTGTCATCCTAGCTAAGAGAAACGTTTAAATAGGATGGGACTCACTGGGTATAAATGGGAGACCCTATTCGAAAAATAACTAATGCACAAAGGGCTAGAAGAGTGGTTTAAGAGGTGGAACACTCACATAGGAAGGTCCCAGCACCCCCGCCTCCAAAAAAAGAAAAGCCATTTGGGGGACCTTGCACTAAGGAGGTAAAAGCAAACTTCCGGGATAAGGGAACACCGAGAGGCATGCAGGCTAAGCAGGGTAGGTGAATATCTGCCTGGTATTTACTACAGAGCGTCCCAGGGAAAACAAGTGTCACTGAGCTTCACTGGTAATTCTTCATAGGCACAGATCCAAAATGCCTGGGTATGCCGGGACCCTCTTGATCTCACCTGATCACCAATGGCTTCCTGGTATGGAGGGTAGGTGGCAGGAAATTTCTGGAATAAGTGAGTATAACTTGAATGATGAAGAAAGACAAAGTGGAAATCAGCAAGTTCAAGGTCGTTGTCACACCCCACACCACCCCCTCCCGGTGAGAACACACACAGTGGGTGGGCGCTTACTGAGTCCCTGGGTCTTTCGATTAGGTTGCATTCGATACATTATTAGGAACGTGAATGGATACTGAGGCTCAAACAGGTGGCCCACACCTTTCTGTAATCCCAGCATCTTGGAGGATCATGAATTCGAGGTCAGCTCTAGGCTAGGTGGAGACCCTATCTTGAAATAAATAAGCTGCTCTGGACCCCGCGAGCTGCTGTGGCTTGAGTCCCTAGGATCCAGAGCCAAGGGAATGTTCTTGTGAACTTCGGGGTGGGGGTGGGGGTTGCAGCCCTGAAGGCTGGGCAGCGCCTGCTGTTTGTTGTCCTCTCCAGGGCCCTCACCCCCACTTCCCTGCCAGCTCCGCCTCTGCCTCCGCCTCCTCCCCTCATCCCCCCCATAGGGGACTGGGTGGCAGCGCGCAGACCGAGCTGAGTCCTTACCATAGCACCTGGTCCGGGAAGTACTGCCGTTTGAAGACCTCAGCGGGTCGGGGGGGGGGGTGTCTAGCTATGGCTGCTCGGGGATCGGGGGCCGCCCAGAGCCTGGGGGGCCGCGCTGGACGCTGAATTACAGTGCAGGCAGAGCGTAGAAGCGAGCGACCGTCGGGGCGCCGGCAGTGGAGGAGCGAGGCGCACCATGCGCCCCTGCCCGCCGCCGCCGCTGCGGGTGCCGGTGCTGCTGCTGGTGCTGCTATCCGGCGCCGCACGCACGGTGAGTCCCACACCTTCCCCGGACTGGTGCCCAAGGGTCTTGCCCCTTTAGGATCCTATGCGGGATGGGGTGGATTGGTTGGGGAGCGCAGAAATTCCGCAGAGGAGAGTCCTGCTCTGCCCTCAACAGTGATCTCTATCAGCTCCTTGCGGGGAATAGGGATGGGGGGACCCCAAAGGGGGAAAAGCCATCGTGGGCACCAGGGGCACCGGGCGGAGGCAGCTCTGGGGTAGATGCTTTGCCCTCTGCCTCTGCTCTTCCTCCAGCTGCGCCTCTGGGTCCCTCATGGACGGAAACTGTGGAGCCGTCCCTGGCAGCGCCTAGCGTGCTGGACACCGGCCCTCCAGGGTTTCATTGAAACCTCCGAATCACTCTCATGTCACCCTTGTTGTGTGCAGATGAAGAAGCCTAAGGATCCAAAGAGGGGTGATGGTGGTGGTAGCGATGTGAATCTTACTTCTTGTCCCAAAAAGAGCTTGGGGACTCACATCCGTCTGTCCCCAAGTCTTGACATTTTCACACGCACGCACGGGGCTGCAGATGGGGAGATCTCAGAGAGCTCTGGCTGAGCGTCTGGGTCTCTGATGGGGCAGTGTGCAAGTCCCCACCCCCGCTCCTGTGGGATTTGTCCTGTGGGATTTGTCTTCCTGATGTCTGCATGTGTATGTCTGTGGGCTCCTGGGAGAAGCTGTTCCCCACAAACCAGGAAGAGACTGCAAGAGAAAAGAGGTCACAGGGTGGGTGATTTGTCTTTCTTTCCCATGGGAACTCAGGAATGCTGGGCTTCTTCCCCTGGGCTTTGTGCTTGCTACGCAAGACTGGTAGGATGGAAGGAACAGGGAAGGGGTCAAGGCTGGGTGGGAGGCGACATCTCACCTCAGACCCAGACCCATCTCATCCCATTCGCATTCCAAACTGGTCCCCAAGTTCTGCATTCTTTTGAGCAGCCTTCAGGGAAAAGTGCTTGGGGAGCCAATTTTGAGTCTTCCAAGTCTATCCTGGGCAAGTTCTTCCTGTTACCTGGCAGCTGTGTTTGCCCTTAGCCTGCCCCAGTTTGATCTTAAGGAAAAAAGTTGCTCCTGGGTAATGAGCTTGCGGACACTCAGGGTTGCCCCTCTTTCTGCAGCTCCAAGGCATTCCACAGCCATAGCTTGGAAAGGTGCACTTTGGGGGCTCAAGCCCAGCTCCCACAGTACCCAGAAGCCTCTTCTCATCAGTGGCAGGGCTGTTTTGCAAGGTGTTCGAGTATGAACACACACTCTTTAGTCTGAACTTCCTGCACTATGCAAGATGCTGGGCTGGTTCAAGGCCAAATACAGCTTTGTATTTGTATACAGTGTGTTATTCTATGGCTGGAGGGGGAGGAGCAATAGCTCCTTCCCTAGGTGCCTCCCAGCCTTCTTCTTACGTATTTACAGTAATCTTAAGACTCTCTTACTCATTCCTAGGCTTCAGAACTCAGGTTAAACTTGTGTTTCTATGTCAAGGGGACTCAGGAAGTACAGGGGAAAATGAGTTTGCTTAGCTCAAGTTGTCACTGTGTTTTAGAAGGATGCTTCATTGTAGTATGGTTTGATTCTCTCATATTATAAATGAGCAGATTGAGACACACAGAGAGGACATCTCTGACATCAACAATTCAGCATGAGAGCTTTGACTAGCTCTGCCTGTCAGGTTCCTTTTATTTACTTATCATATACTTAGGTACTTACATGCTCATGGATGATAAGTGTATTAGTATCTGAACTATATGACTATATAACCTGAACTATATGATCTTATATATTTCATATACTTACGTATTGTATTGTATTGTTGGGGGACAGCTCTCCATATTATTTTATGGGGTTTGACCTGTGGGCGTGTGTCTTCAGACTTCATGGTAGCAAACTCCTTTAATAGATTTACAGCAGCATTGATAGTTTGGTTGAAGTATTCCCCAGCTGCTGAAACTGTGGTTTCCTTCTGGATGTTTAATTCTGTGATTCTGGATGGTAAGATATTAAATGTGTGTGTGTGTGTGTGTGTGTGTGTGTGTGTGTGTGTGTGTGTGTGTGTGTGTGTATGTGTGTATTCAGAGCCTTATACTCTCACTTGGCTTTTTCACTCAGACTGGTGTTCTACTGCTTGAGCCATGCCTCCACTTCTGGCTTTTTACTGGTTAATTGGAGATAAGAGTTGCATGGACTTTTCTGCTGGGACTGACTTCAAACTGTGATCCTTAGAATTCAGCCTTGTGAGTGTGAGCTACTGACACACAGCCAAATACTGAATCTTGATGCTACCAAATATTATTAAAAATTTATTTGGTGTCCTGTTGAAGGAGACCATAGGCATCTGCCTACTTGCAGGGATAGATATCAAGTCACTTATTTCTCTCCCTCACATTTCTGCCTCTCCATACTTGGAGATGTCAGAGGGTTCTGGCAAGGGAACACCAAAATACAGTAATGGCAGAAGGAGGTGAAGTATTCTGATGACTTCCATAAGAAACTCTGAGCTCCAGAGACAAATGGTGCCTGTTTCTCTCATATGGGTAAGCTAGACCTAAAATACATGGGGACATGATAAATTATACAGGATTTGAGTCATTCACACACAGTGAGATCAAAAGAAGATACGCTTAGAGAGGTACACAGAAATGGCAATGTCTATGTGCATCTAATCATATAAAATAATATTTATTGAAATGAACTCCAGGAAATGGAAACAAGAGAGCTTTTTTGTTTTTGTTTTTCTTTTCTTTTTGTCTTATTTGTTTATCTGTCTTTAGGTGGGCAAGGCAGGGAACAGAAATGGAGGGGTAAAGGGTACACAAATGCAGCAGTGGTATTCACTAGACACTGACTGGGTGAGAATAGGAGAGAAAAACTGGGAGATTGGGAGGGGAAAAACTGGGAGATAGTGGTGCAAAGGGTGATATTGTCCAAAAAGAAATGCACACTTGCTGGACGCTGGTGGCTCATGCCTCGTAATCCTAGCTATTCAGGAGGCTGAGATCTGAGGATCAAGGTTCAAAGCCAGCCTGAGGAGGTTAGTCCATGAGGCTCTTAACTCCAATTAACCACCAGAAAGCCAGAAGTAGCACTGTGGCGCAACGTGGTAGAGCACTAGCCTTGAGTGAAAGAGCTCAGGGACAGTACCCAGTCTCTGAGTTCAAACTCCATGACCAACAAAAGAAAGAAAGGAAGGAAGAAAAGACAAGAAAAAGAAAAAAGAAATGTACTCTTTACCTGACTCATGTAATGTAACCTTTGTACATCACCTTTATAATAACAATAAAAAATTAAATACAAAGAAACTTTGAATGAATGATAGATGAGTGAAATGATGATTGCATCCATGGAAACTGTGTTAAACTGTGGCCCACAGCAACAAGTAATGAAGGACCATACCTGAAGGCAATCATTCTTTCAAATTGTACACAAATGTGGCATGCAATAGAAAAAAGAGTCGCTCAAGGCCTTTTAATCCATAGCTTCATGCAAACTGCCACACTCACCCCATTGAACTCATTAAGTTTGAACTCAAATTGGCAGTTTTCCTTCAAGCATATTTGTTTTAACTTTGAAAATGTTGACAATTGAGCTAAACAATTCTCTATTGGGGGAAGAGTTTGTCCTATGCACTGTACAAGGCCCCATAGCATCCATGGGCCTCCATCCACTAGAAGTCAGAAGACTCTCTCCAAAGTTGTGATAATAGAAAATGTCTGTAGACATGGCCAAATATTCTGTGGGCAGAAGAAGACAAAATCACCCCTGAGTAGGTAGAGCCACAATCTTGAACATTGAGGAGATATATCATCAGGAATTTGTTACATGTTAGATTTGGAGCAGTGGTGTTGGTGACAGGGAATCTGAGTCCAAAGATGGAAACAGATTGCTACAATTTGCATCTTGAATGTCCTGCAAAGGCCCAGTGTGTTGAAGGTATAGTCTCCAGCTTGTGGCACTTGGGCATGGAGAAATCATTAAGAATTGGGGGTCAAGTGAGAGGAAGTGAGGTCACGGAGAGAAAACTTTGAAGGGAATATTGGAATCCCAGCCCCTTCCTCTTCCTTTCTTTTTGTTTCTTAGCTACTATGAGATATTATTCAGCCTCCTTGGCCATAGGCTCCCACCAGCATGTGCTGTGCTGCTACAGGCCCAAAGCAACAAGGTCAAGTGACTATAGACTGACATCTCTGGACCTTTGAGCCAAAATATATCTTTCTTCCCTGTAAGTTGATTTTCCTGGGTCTTTTGTCACAGTAAGAGAAGTCAAGCCTCCATGCTTTCTAAGCAGGCAGTCTACCACTTGATCCAAGCTGCCAGTCTTTGTATACAGGTTATTATCAAAACAGAGCCTTCATGTATTCCCTGAAATAGCCTAGACTACAGTTCTATTATTTGTGCTTCTTTCTGTTGCTTGAGTGACAGATGTGCACCACTGTGTCCAGCCACTGATTGAGATGGAGTCTTGCAAACTTCTATACATCTGGGCTAATGTTGAACAGTGATCTCTGGATCTTCACCTCTCGAATAACTATGATTATAGGCTTGAGTCACTGGACCGGGCTAAGAATACTTTTTGAAAGTGTATTCCCTAGGATTAGAGCTCCATGAGTATGGCCACTCCCTCTGGTGGCCCCCCAGTGGCTACCAGCCTCCATCCCTTTAGAATGCTGGGAGTTCTCTCACTGACGTTCACCCAGGCTTGGGGATGTCCTTCAGCCCAAGGTACACCCACAACACTCAAATCCTATCTATGCTGTTTTTATTATAAACACAAGGCTGCTCAGTACTGTGCAAACTTGAGGAAATGAGACTATTCTGGGCACATGGCTCTCTGAGGTGTGCCTGGTGGCTACCTGTCTTTTCACATTCCTGACCTGCCACTTGTATGCTCATTTGCAGCAAATGGAATTTCCTCTCATTTCCTGAGAGTCAAAGAACTATGGATAAACTTCCTCTAATCAACAACCTGCCCTGATGGATGTGTCTACATTGTCCTCTCCA